ACATCACATTTATGTGAAAACCAATAATAATTCTAAGAATATCAACATGTTTTAAGTCTGTGGTTGTCTAAATGTGAATTTCAGTCGAGCACCTTATCATTAAACACCCGGAGGCTGTCCAGTGTGTGCAGGTTCTGCTCTAGTAGGGCGGTACCCGCGGAGTACAGATTCACTTCATCCAACTGAAGTACAGCCACAGCCACCCAGAACAGAGCTTTATGCATGGGAGAATCCTGTAGATCATTAGACAAGCACACACAAAACTATTAATGAGTGAAATGTGTCATTTCTGCATCAGCAAACGGAATTGCAAAAATAGGTTTCACACATGTACACATTGAGAGAAGTTAATTAAAACATTGTTACAGTCGTGTTACTTCAGATGGTTTATTATAACAACTGCTGATGTTTTAACAATTGAATCCAGCACACAACGTGACTGCACCTGATCGAGGAGAGGCTGTAGCTTGGTGAGAGCGATGACGGTGGCCTCGATGAGAACCTGGCTGTTGTAATTATCCGGCCCCTTTAAGCAGCTCTCCAGCCCCTGTGCAGGAACAGCATTAATCAGACAGAGCGCTGGAGCGTGATGCCAGCAAATCGCCAGAGCAAATGACACTACAGCAGTTAGACTAGCGCACTGCATTTCTGCACAGACCTGAATCACACTGCATACACAACACAAATATACATCATTTCCAGGCAAAATATAGTCACAATATTATAAAAATATGACAAAAGATGCCCACCATTTGGATGTATTTAACAGGATTGGGGAAAAGGTCAAGAACTGGCTTTCAATTTATAAGTTTATAACTTTTGTAGCGCCAAAGTGGTAGTTGGGTAGCGGTCATAAAAAATATCTTCATTGGTGTTCCGAAGATGAACGAAAGTCTTATGGGTTTGGAACAACATGAGGGTAAATAATGACAGAATTTTCATTTTTGGGTGAACTATCCCTTTAAAGGAAGAGGAAATTCAATAATAGTCAGTGACAACAGAGAAATGCAAGTAGTCCAACCAGTTTGATGTGTTGTGGCAGCATGAACAATCAATAAAATCCAGTTAATTCATAAATTGTGTTTATTTTGTGTTATGTAATTTTTCTTTAACTGATTAAACATTCAAGGAAATTAATAACGGAAAGTAATCAATGCTCAACTTGCTTAAACCGGACAATGACTTTCTTCTAGAGCTGCTGTACAGCCAAAACAAAAAATGTTGCATTCATTTCTTATCACTGTGAAGCTGCTTTGAAACAATCTGCATTGTAAAAAGCGCTATATAAATAAAGGTGACTTGACTTGACATTTCTTTAAACTATGTTTAAAACTGTATAAATTCCCACAAAATTCAAAATAGTTTAAAATTTTGTCCAAACAAAATATCAAACGCATTGTTTACAGACTTTATAAAAGTAAATAAGACATTTTAATTTATTGACTTCATAAATACACTACTAATTTTTTTTTTAAATGTTTTTGAAAGAAGTCTCTTAAGTCTCTCAAGGCTGCATTTATATGATAACATGGTTATGGGCAATTCATGAAAAAAATATTTGAATTTCAGCCAATATTAATTCTACTTCTATCTGCATCCTGTTGACAACCTTAAAATAAAAAATTATTGGATACTTATTCAGCTTTTAATGCACAGCTGTGCACTTCTATAAGCCTTATCAAAAAATGGAACTGTTAGAGAACACAACTTTATAAAATCAACATATATTAACATTGTTATTTTACAAAAACAAGCGAATGCAAGCGATTTAAAATCATATCTAAAATTAGGGAGTTTGAGAGAGAGAAGCAGATGAGAGAAAGAGAGCTTACCCGATCAATGCTGAGCAGAGGACTGGCTTTACTGAGAATACGAATGATCTGTTTGAGCTGCCCGTGAGTCACACGTTTACTGATGCAGCCGAACACCACCAGCGCCCGCGGCTGAAGAGATGGGTTATACTGGAATGCAAACCTATCCAAGAAAAGAACATGTAAATTATAAGTCGACATAACAGATTTTGTTATTTTAATGTGATTGCACTATGATTCTCAGCTGCAATTGCTTTAAAAACACTCTTGTGAAATGCGATGTTTTCAACATACTTTTGTGCCAATTCAGTCCACTGATCAAGCCATTTGCATCCGGGAATGTCCCTCATACAGGCCTGGGGAAAAATAACTATTGGTTAAATAAAAGACTTCAAGACATAAGTATTTATAAAACTCATAACTTTCCCCTTTGAATGGATTTTTCTTGACAATAATTTTCACGGATCTACTCACCCTGACTCAGTAGAGCGCAGTGATTTCATCTTTTTTGATCCCCAGAAATTGAGAAAGAAAATCCATTTAATAGACATAGTAGTAGTAGCAATACTACTGATACTGGCCTTCATTCATAGTACTTAGTGTAACATATTTATGTTGTGTCTACATTGATTTGGAGATTCAATGTCAAAATATGTATTAAAAAAACATAAAATACATATGGTAAGTCTACATACATTAAATGTTATTAATATTTCAAATATGTTAGAAATGCCATGTATACAACTATTTCGATATTCCTTCATATTTAATAAATTAGGTTTGCCATAACATTACATTTAAAAATATATTAAAATGAAAATAGTTCATTTAAATTATAATAATTTGTGCTGCCAATCAAATAAAAAAAAAACAATTAATCACACATTATGATTAAATTGGACCTATCATTAAGATTTTAAATATATTTAATATTGCATTATTTATTTTTTACACATTGTAAATATTTGTTTAATGGCATTTTTTTTACTAAGTACTATGAATGAAGGCCAGTACCACAGATACCAATACTGTTACTGATGACTCTATAAAGTGGATTTATTTCTCAATTTCTGTGGATGAAGTGAGCATGTGTTGATCCATTTACACAAACCACAAAATATCTCCTTTACATGGATCAACACAGTGCTGGACATCGGCAGTTAAACAAAACAAAAAGTGGTTAGACAGCTCCCTTCTATAATACACAATGTTGGTAACTGACCTCCATGATCTCCAACAGAGCCTCTGTAACCGTTTCCAGGGACGACAGAGCAAAGGTCTCTCTCTCGTAGGAGCCGGGGGAGAAAGAACGGTCTCTGTAGCTGGAGCGGAAGGCTATGACCGCAGCAGATTTGACCTTACTGATGCCGAACAGCAGGTAGAACTTGGGCAGGGAGAACTCAGTCAGACTCAGACGCAGCACCTGTTTAGTCTCCTCTGCAGAAGCAAAAACCAGATCAGCAACAAATCAGACTCAGGTTTTATATATATATATATAACCTGTCTGGTTATCAACATTCTTCAAAATATATTTTTTTTGTACTCAACAGAAGAAAGAAACTCATACAGGTTTGGAACAACTTGAGAGTAAGTAAATGATACCAGAAAACCTTTAAGTTTTCAGAGTTGGCACAATTTTTAAAAACTAAACAAAACAAACCCTTTTTTTTATGTACAGATATTATGTACAATGATGTTCATTAATTCAGGTTTAATTACTCATTTCATACCCATAAACTGAGAATTTGTTTTTATTTAATAGAGATATTAGTACAGACCTTCATTCATAGCACTTATGTCATTAAACAAATATTTAAAATATACTATATTACTATTTAAAAATATATTACAAATTTTAAATGTTAAGTGCAATTTATAAGTTGTCTTTTAATCGATTGACAGCACTAATTATTACAATTTAAATGAACTGTTTTTATTTTTATATATTTTAAAATCTAATTAATTAATGTGATGGCTAATTTATTAAATTTAAAGAAATATACAAATTAAATGCTAATTTTATCTAAACATTGAATATTAATAACATTTAATGTGTTTTAATGTGTAAAAAAATTATTTGGATTTCATACTTGGCATTAGCAGTCCTCAAGCATGAGTTTAAAAAATAAACTGTGAGCATTCCTTTCATGTGTAAAACATTTCCAAATTCATATTTATTTTTAATATGGATTTCCAGTCAATATCCATTTTCTGTGATTTATCGCTCACCACTGAAGTTAAGCTGTGAGCAGGTGCAGAGCGAGTGGATGATGTTAATAACGAGGCCGTGCGTGGACGCTCGGAGGGACAGCGGGCCGGTGGCCACCAGCAGGGTGACGACGTGGAACAGGTAGGGCAGATGAGCGGCCACGTCCAGAGAGTTGTTGAAGGAGAGCATGAGCATGTAACGGGCCAGTATGGCGATGTCGTCCCACATCAGGTGCTGCTCAAGGGTGGGGGTGGGAGACAGGCACGTCTTATCGATGATCTTACACATTCGGCCAATCACCTGAGAGATACATTTATAATTCAATCTTTTTGTTACATTGCAAACAATATAAGAAATAAGGCTTTAATTAGTCACTGGTAAAATGAAAACTAATAAGTCTAATTAAACACTAAATCAAACAAACATCATTGAAGCTGTACAAAACGATCAAAATTATGATTATTTGCAAAAGGCATAATTTATCAATTCAAACTAACTTCAAATCAGAAAGTAATCCAATACCAAATAGAATCCAGACAGTGTGCCTTTTATTTTCACCCTGTGACATGCACCTAAACATCATTTGCTTTCTCAATAAGATTATACTTGGTCCCTCACTTAACCTCAGAGTCCCGCTGCTATGCGAGTCTCAGAAAAGCAGACGCAACAACTGGACAAAGCCGGTCCTTGTGCTGCTCGCTGTGACAGCAGTGGCTGGCACATGCTACCCAAACAATATTTGGCTTTTCAGCATAGCTGAGCATTTGGAAAAACAGCTAAATATGTCCAACTAGTTAAAAATAGCAGAAGATATCTGGTTTAGGTTCCTGCGTGAATCAAGAACCATAAAGATCAAGCCACTTAAGTTATTGAAGTCGCAAATGTGGCTCTCCTTTTGACCAAGTGTCTGACAATGACGTCCATTGAGCGTAATGATGACTAACAGTTGCCCATATAATAGGAGCGACTGCCCCGCTGGCTTACTATTGTCTGTCTGTGCGTACACGTACAAATTAGGCATTTGTGCACAAACACTTAGGATAATAGATGTTGGGTAGAAGAGCTAGTCAGCCTGGATAAGACCACAAGAGGAATGATCCAGGAACACAAGAGCCAGAAACACTTTAAGCGGTAAGTCGAAATCTGTGTAAGTGTTAATGGGCTAGGAAAAAACTTTTCTAAAAGAAAAATAGATTTTTACAGACATGATAGCAAGAAATAAAACTGGTTTGATTGATAATTGAATATTGTATGATATTAAATAGGAGTATACATTTTGACTGAAATAAACTGAAATTATTAAAAAAAATGCATATATATATATATAAAAAAAAAAAGACAAATCCTATAATTATCAAATCCTATACTCTATATAAATGCAAAATTGAAGAAACTTGCAAAAAATTGCAATGCAACAATAATCTGTGCTTACAAAATGACTGCATATTCTGTTACTACAGTATAAAGGAAAAAACTAAATGGCTTACATTTTGGTTTTGGTTCCGTTGCATTTTCCATGTTTTAAATCATTTATTGCAGTACAGCAATACAGCTTTTAATATTTCAGTATCTAACTGAGTGTTCTGTTACTAGGTTATCTTGGGAACAACATCCTATTAAACAATAAATTAAAAACAAATTCATAGGGAATTACAGTATAATATGTTAGCTGAGCAGTAAGCGTTTACCTTGCTGGACACCAATTTGACATTTCCTGAAGCCAGGGCTACAGCTGTGTCAGCCATCACTTCAGCCTTGATGGATCCCAAACCCCCAGTAGCACTGGTCTTTATGAAGCTATCCAACACCACATCCAGCAGGTCTGTGATCTATACATGGAAAATGGTGCAATCTGTAACTGCTGACTAACAGAGTTTCGTAGAATTATTGTAGAAATATCCAGGGGTGTTAAGGTTTGAAGTCATGTATCATTGTAATGCCTGTTGTAGCAGTTATCAGATGAAAATATTTGATCCTTTAGGATGGAATAAGCTTGCAAAATCAAATTCAATTACGTTTTATGTAATAATGTTTTATGAGGGTTTGAAGGAACTACCTGACCCAAGCTGCCCCATATCTTTGCCTGTATGGAGGGGTACATCTGCTTCTCATTGATGGTCATTGTGATGAGCTTATCCAGGATAGCCGTGACGCGTTGTCGTTTGGCATCGTCATTGTGCTTACAAAACCGCACCAAATTACGGAGCCAAGGAGTCATATACTCCAGACACAGATGCTTCAGCTCAATACCTAAAGTATTGACAAAAAAAGACACAAAAAAGGTGCTGCGCAAATTCCTCAAAAAACAATTATTTTGTATCACAATATCGTTCAAATGTTTGTGATTAGAAAGATTTGTTTTTGAAAGAAGTCTCTTATGTTCAAAAATACAGTAAAAACAGCAATATTGTGCATATTACACTGTAAAATATTTGTTTTCCATTTCAACATTTTAAAATGTAATGAATTTTTTTAATTTCTTTTTCAGCATCATTACTCCAGTCTTCAGCGTCAGTTGATTCTTCAGAAATCATTCTAATATGCTGATTTGGTGCTCAAGAATCATTTCTTATTGTTGAAAACAGCTTTGCTGCTTAATTTTAGTGGACATGATAATTCTTTTCATGATTCTTTGACAAATAGAAAGTTCAAAAGAACAGCATTTAAAATGAAGAGTCTTTACTGTCACTTTTGAACAATTTAATGCATTCTTTAAAAAATTTTTTACGATAATATATATGTGTGTGTGTGTGTGTGTGTGTGTGTGTGTGTGTGTGTGTGAAATGTAAAACAATGGGTGTTTTTTTTGTATGTGACACTGACTTGACTTGCTGAAGCCAGAGATGCACTCTTCCAGGAACTCCAGAGTGAGGTGGGGTTCGTTAGCTGCTAGCGTTTTGCTAATGGACACAATAAAAAGGGTGTTGTTGGCTGGGATGCACAAGCCAGACGTTTCTAGGAGTTGGCCCTCAATCTTTAGATTGAAGGTGCAGGTTAAGGCACAAAGTAGATTGTATGCAGCTGACCTGTTGAAGGAGTTAACAGCAAGTCATTTTCAGAATTACTAATTTACTTTAACAACATGTTAGTTTCCATAACTGAGGAAATTAATGTGATATTTCTTTTGTACATGACAGGTTTATGATTATAACTGTGGGGCGGCATGTTCAAGACCGGCCCCAGTTGAACTGAAGACACAAAGCAGCAGTATTAGCATTTCTAATCAGTTCACCAAAACAAAGACAGAAGCCTGCAAATAAAAGGCTCATTGTCACAACAACAACAACAGCTTGATGCATTGGACTATTCACCCAAAACTCAAGTTGTTAGGCTGAAAACAGTCTGAGCATGGCCAAAGACTCGAGCTTAATGTTTCTCACCTCAGACTGGGGTCAGAGCTTCCCAGGTTGAGGAGGGCGATGTTGAGGAGGGTGCCAGGAACATCTTTAGGCCTGATCTTGGTGTGTTGGGGAATTGAGTCTGGTTGGGAAAGTTCCCAGCGTGTCCGGATGTGGATTATGGACTGAACAATGGCTTCGCACTCCTGGTGCATGAACGTTAGGGGAGTGCCCTGGTTAGCGATTGTCAGAGTGAACTGGTTCTCGTCCACCAGGCATATCTCCTCAATCTCTGAAGCGTAGTATATGTCGTTCAGGAAAACTGGCTGTCCCAGGACACGCGTGCGTTCCGCCGAGGTCACTTGTACAGCTGTTGATCCCACCTAGGTAGAATGGGCAACGATATATCAGTATCATATCAATTATCAGCCAATATTAGAGATTTTACTTTTGTTATCGGACAATATTGAATATTTAATTGTGCATGTATTAAATAATAATTTAAGAGTAGGCAAATCTTAATCTTTAGCAGATCACAAAATGAATATCCATTTTTTATATTGTACATTACAATAACGTGATGTCTACATTTTTATATAATTATTCATTTTACATTTTTAGTTTATTTTGTTTTAATTTATACAACTTTTTAATATCGGTCATTATCAGTTGTTGGCCATTAGATGAAAATAATTTTCAGCTTTATTACTGGTGCATCCCTAAAAAAAATATCCAGCAGTAGAGTTAAGGAAGATAGAAACTGAATAATGTAGCAAATATTGGTACCTAAACAAACTCAAAATAACATCTGGGTTGAGTTTTACCAATTTTTACCTTGATCGACACCTTTGTGTCCTTATGCGCCAGTTTCAGGGCATTATGGAACACTTTGAGGTCCTCTTCCAAAGCCAGGGTAGCAGCGGGCAGCTTCTGCTGCTCGGGTTCGATGTGTTCGGCTAGACGTGCAGGCGAATCGATAAACAGTAGCTTCTTGCTCCCCTTGAGACCAGTCAGTAATCGCTCGTGGTATTTGGTGTACTCTCGCACCCAGGTGTTGCAATTGTAGATGTACACTGCAGCCACATTCTCATAGGCAAAGTTTGGAAAGACCACAAACCACTTGGATAAGAAGTCCGTCTTGAAGCGGTTACTGGGCCCCACATGGGTGAGGTCTACTACAATCTCGTAGTGCTTGGCGTAGTATGGCTTGAGGGTCAGCAGGACATGATAGATCAGAAGATCACCATTGATTTGTCCAGTTTTGAACCTAAGAGAAATAACAATTTTAGTTCAGATTTGAATTTGAATGTGTTTTTGGATCTAAAGCCAATGGACTGCACATCTTTGAGAAGCGTACTTTGGAAATAATGTCCAAAAGCGCACAAAAAAACCTATAATAAAAGGAGGAATAATTGAATTTTCAAGTATATATAAAAAACAATACACATTAGCCTTTACTTCAAACATTAAAAACATTTTAAACGAGCAGTCTGTTCCAATTCCCTTAAATGGCAAACGTCTGTCAGCTTACACAGAATGGAAACCTGCAATCCAAATATAACACTGTTTTCTATTGTTACAACCACAGGTCAAGAGCATCTCAGCTGAAAAACACCTAAATAACATCATCAAGCGCGAGGACAGGAACTAATTGTGTTCTGCATTGCGATATATCAAGCCTCATTACTTCAGGTCGTTGTTCTTCATCTTCCAGCGCTCCGGATAAGTCCACAAAAAAGGTTCTATATCCACTTTAGTAAGTACTTCACCAATTATCTCTAAAGCTAATGTGTAATTGAGAGTTTGGAAAAAAGAAGAGAGGAAAACGAACTACTACGTCTTTGTTAATCTTTTTATTATACAGTTAAAGTGGCTAAACAGTCCTGAATAAATTGATTGTGACAAAAGGAGCACTTAAAATCCATATACACTGATTAAAATGACAGTGTTAAATTATGTACACTAGCATTCAAAAGTTTGGGGTCAAATTAGATTTTGAATGTTTTTGAAAGACGTCTCTTATACCCACTAAGGGTGCATTATTTGAACAAAAATACATTAAAAACATAATTTAAAATAGTTTTTTTCTATTGTATATATATATATATATTTTTTGTGTGTGTTATTTTGCCCTAAATATTTTTTCCTAAAATGTTTTGTATTTTTTCCAGCATTTTTTGACATATTATATTATAAAATATTAACATTATAAAATGTCTTTTAAGGTTACTTGCGCTCATTTTAACGCATTCTTGCTGAATGTATTCATTGCTTTCAAGAAATGCCATTATTTTTACAGACTGCAATTTTTTGAATGGTAGAGTACATAATGTTTTTTTCCATTAACCAAGGTTTCATGTTCAGTTTGGACAGACAAATTTTTGTTGTTGCAGGAAACTTATTGGATTGCGCATGTGTAGTGTACTGAAAAGTTAAATTAAAGGGTAGTTCACCCAAAAATTGTCATCATTTACTCACCTTGAAGTTGTTCCAAACCTGTATGAGTTTATTTTTTCTGTTCAACACAAAAGATATTTTACACATTTTTGGTAACCAGACAGTTGATGGAACCCATTGACTTCAATAGTATTTTTTTCCTACTATAGAAGTCAATGGCTACCGTCAACTGTTTGATTACCAACATTCTTAAAATATATCTTCTCATACAGTATAAAAACTCACACAGGTTTGGAACAACTTGAGGGTGAGTAAATTACGACAAAATGTGGTTACAGTATTATAAGGTGTCCTTGTTAGTGTAATTATACATTTAAGTACTGAGTAATAATAATTAACTACATGTACTATGGTTAGGAATAGGGGTTGGTTTAGGGTTAGTTGCATGTAATTATGCATAATTTATAGTTATTACTACAGTAACATGTCCTACTGAATAATGGTACTTGTTTGTTACATAGATCTCAACATACAATGACAATGCAGTCCACAGAAGATCCCATGTCCTCTACTATCCATGAGCAAGACTTCAACATTTCACTTGCGACAACTAGTTTGCCTGCAACTGGTGCCTCCGAGATCAGCTGCTTTATTGACGCCCAGCTAGCATTTATAGCGACTGCCACTGCTGGTGGCATCATCCTTATCCTTCTAACCTCCACCATAGTCTTGGCATGTACCGTCTCCAGCCTGAAACGCCGCCACCGGACCCCTCGTCCATCCCGAAGCAATGCCGACCTAGTGAGTGGAACAGGCTATTGGGGTAACGAGAGAAGAGAGGGAGGAATTGTGGGCCCATGCGAAACCAGTGTTCTACTGGAGGACGTAAAGACCGATGGTGAGGAGGAAGAGGTCCAAGATGGCGCAGCAGGGCCAAGCCAGTACATCAACACTTCTAACGCACCCGCTGACTTGGAGAGTGTCCCGACAGCCATGCAGAGCTCAACCTCTAGGGATTCCTGCATAGATCCCATTAGTTTAGAAAACGTGCCTCTGATGGTGTAAAGTAAAAGAGCTTTTTTTGTACGCTGGGGTATGACAGGCACATTTTCTACATTTTATTTCTCTTTTGTTTTTTAAATAAATGGCTTCAATAGTTCAGCTACTGCAGTAAAAAAAAAGTGCAGTTACAAGTCGTCTCATAGCATTTTTGAGAATTGTTTAACCAACTACGATTATCTGCTTATCCTGTTAAAAAGGACATTTTATATTGGTAATATTAGATGAAATAGAAAACTTTGACTTTTTTAACAGATGAGGTCAAAGCAGCTCTGGAGATCTGTTTAGTGAAGATGACAAGGGAAATAAGTAAATAAAATGTTGGTGTATTATTGTATATATTGTGAAATTGTATTTAACCTCAGCTTTGTGTTACACTTTGGCCCTTTTTTAAAATATGACCAACAGCCGCAGCAGCATCTACTGTAGATAAAACCCAAATAGTTGAACTCTATACACCACTGTGTATAAATAGCAAAACAAGTCAATTGTAGGGTTTAATTTCTATGCCATTGCAGTCACCAAAGTTCAGTGAAGTGCAAAAATAATGACTTTTTGAAACATTTATCTGCCATTGGTCAGTCAAACAGTTTGGATCAATCAACCTATGAATAAACGACTGGCAGATGACTCTACATGTAAAGCAGTTACTGTAGAAATCACACACTTCAGCTTTAAAATAAGCAAAGCAATACCATTAAATCCTATAATAATGAGCATTCTTTAAGTTTCTCTCAGAACTCTGACATCTCAATAAAAAATTCAATGCTAATGATACAATTTTCCTGTTCAGTTTCTTATTTACAATGATTTTGAAATTTGTGTTGCTTGCTGAACAAAACTCACTGTAACAATGATACTGCTAAGGTAGTTACCAATATGTTGGTAAGTCTTATTGGTAGTTGAAAGGTGGGTGTTCAGTGAAAGGAACTTTCCAAAATAAAAAAAAGGCATGAGATCATTTCCTTTTACATAACTTCTGCTCTACAAAAAAGTTCTTACTTTTATAGATATTTGTGAAGATAATTAATAGCCATTCCTTTTAGAAAAAGGACAGCAATGCTCCAAAACATACCTAAAGAAAGGCCTATTATGAGAGTTTAAGTAGAAAAACGTGCTTGGATTTTTCATACTGTCACCACAGATTCTTTCCTCATGCAAAAAAACTCTGCTATTAGCAAAAACAAATGCAGCCATTTCACAGCTTCATTTCCTGTCAAGTGAAGTGACGGTTCCGTATTCATCAGAACATACTTCACTCTTTAACTAATGCTTCAGAGGATGCCTCGGTAAGATCATATTCTGCTGTTTTGTCTAGCATAAACCATTGATTATATTACTTGACTTCACAAGTTTGTAATTCTTTTTTTTTTTTTTACATTTAAAGTATCTACATGATACCACAAAATAATAAGTAGAAAACTAGTTTTCCAGTCTTTTAGCTGAATAAAGCTGACCTTTGCATAAAAGTTTTAATCTGAGCATATTGCTTGTGGCTTATAAGAATTCAGGAGATAAAATGGTCTGTTGAGTCTTATGTGCAAAAATGTCTCTTTTTGGCAAGGTTTTCTAAGGACACCATGAGGACTAATCTTTGCACACTTGTCTTCCTCTTCTCTCTACCATGGAGCCTAAACGGCCATTTAACAACCAGCCATAAGAATATTGAGGTAACAAACACAGCAGACAATGCATCAGGGTATATTAAGCACACTACTGATTCTGGTACAGACAACGTGGTTTCACTTTCAAGAAGTCCTCAGACGCAGCACCAAAAGAGTCACTCAGAGCAGCAAGCCATCCTGCTGAGGACACCCAACAGTGACGCAGAGACATCAAATCAGAGTAAAAGCATGAACATACGTGATGGCGAATACAACTTGACTACGCTAGCACAACCTGAAAGGCAAATAATACAGGAAGAGGTAACAACTCCACAAAAGGAAATACGAAAACCGACAGAAGGCTCCCGCAGACCACATTCTACATCTCTTTTGCAAATAGAGAATGCTAAAGAATTGAATATCTCGACTAAACCACCCAATGCCACAAAGGCAGATGTTTCGCCAAAGGAAAAAACGAGCATTGGAGCTATGGAGACACTGCAAGCCACTCAGGAAACACCTTCTACTTCTGATTTCACTGGACACTATGGTGACGTGCAATCAAATAAAACAGTAGTGAAGGGCAGCAATAACAATACAAATGGAGACCTTCATACAATCCAGCCCACAATGGAGACTACAGACCAACCAAACCCATTGACTCATGCCCATACTTCCGCAATAACGTCAAAAGATTTCAACAAGACTGTAAGCACCAATAGTCTGGAAACCACAGAGAGTGAAGTCATCACAGACATGAGGACAAGCACGCAAGGTCCTGAGCTTAAGACTTCATCCATGATTAAGCCAACAAAGACATTGGCGATCACTAAAAAAACCACCACAAAGCGAATTTACCCTCCATCAAAGGATTTCCGGAAAGCGAACCCAGCTCCTGCTGTGGCAGCTGTGATCGGCACCACTTTTGTTTTGATGTTCATAGCAATCATCTTTATCTTGTTAAAGAAGCGCAAAATGCAGAGAAAGAGGCTTGAAAATCCTGAATGGGCCGGACCCTCACCGTTTCTGGATGGCGACGTTCAACCAAACCTGCCAAATATGGATGAGTCCGAGACAATCAACAGACAAGGCTTTAACCAGGTGTCCATTTCCAGATACCTCCCCCAACAGCTCTCCAAACACCTGACGCTCGGAAGGAACACGAGTGAGGAAGTTCTCATGGGGGACATCCTGCAAGGAAGCACATTTGGCAGACAAAATCCAGATGAGGTCCAAGCCCCCAACGGGAACCCAACGGTTGCTCAGGACTCAACTGTGAAGGAGGAAAATGAAATCCAGGAAGGTCAAGCATCCGTGGATTCTTTGGACACCAAAACATCTGCATCAAGAAGTGCACAAGAACCTGTGATGGAGAGCAAAATATCAAAGCAGACTGATGACCTCACTCCATCTCTATCTTCTGGCACGGACACTGTAATTAAACCAACACCTTTAGTGTCTATAGATCTTGATTCTCTTTCAGAAGAAGCAACTCCTTTGCAAACATCAGATGGGGGGATTGTTCCACCTGCTCCACCACTGCCCTAATCTCATTTAACATAAAATCTTCTCTGCTTCTGCCGCTAAAAACTACACAAACAAGATAACCAACATACTCATATCTGCTTTCTAAAAGTCAAAATATGCAAAGACCATTTCTTGCAAGGGATTTACAACCTACTTTGCTTGTTCAAGACTCTTAAAGAGAAATTGCTCAACAGGCTTGCTCAATTGCTCAATTTATTTTATTATCCATTACGCTTTAGTTATCAGTATCATACAACCGCTAAACATGATTTCCTACTTCAAGACAGAGCCTGTACATTATAAAAGTGTATATCTGCTAAAGGTTAGTGAAAGTAAACCAAAGTCAAAGCATAAAGCTGCTTTGAAGATAACTAAATGCCACAAACTCCCAATTCTGATTTCATTAGGTCTTTGTCATTTTAGCACTTTGAAAAGCAACAATCTTCTAACCAATAACAAAAAGTCTCATGAAAAGTTAAAATCGGCATGTTTTGGTGTTTCAAGGCTTGGTCAAGGCTGTACAAGTCCACAGATAAAACGGTTCGTGTTCATGAGAATGCATGGCTCGCTTGTACAAAAACCACAGCATGTACAATCTTTGTGCCTGCCCTACATGCATGCACTGTTAAACACGTGTAAACTTAAGAGGGAATGTAGCCACAATCTGGAGCCAATTTTCAAATGAACTACCGCATTGCTACAGCCACTGGGGACACTTTTAACCGTGATAAACTGTCAGAAGAACATTACAACAGCAGCTCACTCAAACCACTCACTCACTCAAAATAAAAAGTGTTGCAACACGGTCATGTGTCTTTCTTTCCTTCAGCTGTAAAACAAAAAAAAGTAAATGTCAGTATTTAAAATATTTAAATAACCAACTTTATTAAAATGAGAAAGAACTTTATTGTAACATTATTGCACAGTTCATCTAATCTCTAACGCTAATTAATCATGATTATCATGATTATAGAATCATAATTAGCATCAGAGAATACAAGTGCCTGTTTGATAATCAATTTCTTTAATTAGAGTACAAATATTAGGTTTGCCTGCATGAGGCAAACAAAGTTGCTTTAATCACACAAATAAAATATGAAGATTAGGACCAGGAATTAAAAATTCACAAACTCCACTAGATGCTGTCTAAACACTGTCAGAATATATTAAAATAGTGTTCTGTCTACACCAAGAGACAAATGAAGCAATTCAAGAATCTTTTACTGAACACCATGAAAATCATTCCATAACCGGTTCTCGGTTTCCAACACTAACAAACTCTACCTAGGGATAAGCACTACTGAAGTACTACTATTGCGCAAGGTAGGAAGTTAGTACAAGTAGCATACTGTGTGTCTTCTGCAGAGCGCTGAATGCAGGGCCTGTGCACCACCTGCAGCAGAAGTGAGAGGAAATGTCACAGCGGATTTAAATTGGGAAACCAACTACAAGACTATTTTCTGCCTTTTGATTTATTTTCAAACTCTCTTCATCCGGTGGGATTCCCCCAGACTTCAGTGGTTACATGAGCCAATAGCTTTAAACTACTTGCTTGAGGCATGAAAACAACAGCATAATAATAATAATAATAAATAAGATTATTATTATTAATATTATATCCAATTGGGACACCATACCATTGTAACGCCATAGTACTTTTTGTGAGGGTTAAGATTATCTTTTTTCTTCACTTTTTTTTGTTCAATAGCTCAAAACCTTACTCTGCTGCTATGCAGGTTTTCACACATTTGCTATGCTGTTTCACTCCATGAGTACATTCATACCTCATTGGTGCTCTCAAAAGTTGCACATGCACATTCAGAACACTAGGGGGAAACAGATGGAAGCACAGATCATCATCCATCCATTTGTATATTTAAAAAATGAGTTCAAAGAATCAAAACATTAATACATGCTGCCAAACAAATGATTTAAACCTCTGTACCTAAATTAACTAAACTAGAAGGGGTACATTAACAAGCTTTAACAGAGTAAATTTTAAATCATAACTTATGTGGCCTAAAAGTAGTCATAAATACTGAGAGTAAATTCACAAACCTATACAGAAATCCCTTAGGAATTGAATAATAAAAAAAACTCAATATAGAAAGCATAAAAAAACTGCTGTCACCTAAATGAGGACAAGGCCGTAGAGGGACATTAAGCCACATCAGTCTGTCTTCTGCATTTAGCTGCGTCACACAGAATAATTCAGCACTGTACAGTAATATTGCAATAGAGCAGCGGTTCATTTATCAAAGCTGCTGTGTGAGTAATAGGATATCTAAACATGGTACATACAAAGGCCGTGCCATGAGAGCGTGTGAGAGAGAGAGAAATCAGGAAGATGATTTGGTGGAGTGTGCAGATCCGGAATATAAAACACTAAAGTCAGCATCCCTCCCCCCCACCTCATCAGCAGCAGTATGGGTAGACTCTGTGCTGCATTTTGCCCCCTCCCCCTCCGCCTCCCCCTCCCCACCATCCGATGATTCTTCAATCTCCCTCCCTTGGTCCCTCCTTTCTCTCTCTCTATCCTCCTCTGACAGTAAGCCCTGAAACAAGTTCTGTAAGCAGGCAGCCAGCAGCAGCAGAGGCTATCCAAGGGTGCAAATACAC